ATTCCAAAGCTGATAGGAATATTCTTGAAAAATTGAAGCTGTTCTTGGTATTTGATAAAATTGAACTAGATAATCTTGAATTCTACTGGCAATACCATCATGTTCATGTTGAAGTTCAATTAGCTGTTGTTGTTGAGGACGAATAGCACTTTGATTCAATCGGATGAATGATGGACCTAAAAGCAACAGTTAAATCTTAGATAGAGTAAATAGATCATACCTAATTTTAAATAATTCCATTCTTCTACACTAAATGGATTTGAGCTTAGATCAAGATAAGGTTCAGGTGAAACACCAATCAAATTCTTTGCTTCAGGTGAACGTCGATGATTACGTTGAAGTCGTCGTCGATAACCTAACATTCTTATTGTAATATTCTGTTTTAATTGATTGGTATAGCGCATCATATAACGATTGATCGCATTCCATGTAGTGGTACTATTGACTTCTTGAGTATTCATTTCAACATTCGATTTGAATTGTTCCAATATTTTTTGATATTCTAAATCATAATCTTGTAATTTCATCTCATGATCCATTATTGTCAAACGTAGCCATTTACGTTTGGCTTCTTGAATAATTTTCAATCTGATATTTCTTTGCTCATTATTCAAAGATATGGACTTCACTGGTGAAATAAATCTTTCCAATGCATCGAAATGTGGTGGCAGAAATTGACAAAGAATTCTCGTTTCTAACATTTGTTGTTCTTCCCAGATTGCAGCTTGTTTTTGTCTTATTTCAATGAATGGATTAAATATATCATTTGTTGGATATTTCATTCTTATCGATTCATAGAGTTTACTTTCTTCGACGTCATCTTTAAATTTAACGAGTTGCTTTTGATTTATTTTCGACAAGTATTTGCGTTCGGAATCAACGAATTCTTTCAGACAACAATTAATTCGTTCAAATGATACTGGTGTAATTGGACATAATGCTGATTGTGCATTTAATTCTACCTTGCATTGTCCTATGTGTCGATTGATGCATTCAACATAATTAATGAGATATTGTTGGCACAAAATGAAATCATTTGTTTTTGCCATTCGTTTGAGTTGTTCCTTATGTTAAACAAATAAAATAGAATTTNNGTAACTATTTGTGCTTGCTGTTGTGCTAGAATTCGATCTTTATATGGTACAGGTGCCGAATAAGATTGATAGAGATAATTCCAAAGCTGATAGGAATATTCTTGAAAAATTGAAGCTGTTCTTGGTATTTGATAAAATTGAACTAGATAATCTTGAATTCTACTGGCAATACCATCATGTTCATGTTGAAGTTCAATTTGCTGTTGTTGTTGAGGACGAATAGCACTTTGATTCAATCGGATGAATGATGGACCTAAAAACAACAGTTAAATCTTAGATAGAGTAAATAGATCATACCTAATTTTAAATAATTCCATTCTTCTACACTAAACGGATTTGACTTCAAATCAAGATAAGGTTCAGGCGACACACCAATCAAATTCTTTGCTCGAGATGAACGTTGATGATTACGTTGAAGTCTTCTTTGATAACCTAACATTCTTTTTGTAATATCCTGTTTTAATTGATTGGTATAGTGCATCATATAACGATTGATCGCATTCCATGTAGTAGTATTATTGACTTCTTGAGTATTCATTTCAACATTCGATTTGAATTGTTGCAATATTTGTTGATATTCTAAATCATAATCTTGTAATTGCATCTCATGATCCATTATTGTCAAACGTAACCATTTACGTTTGGCTTCTTGTATAATTTTCAATCGTTCATTTTTCAATCTGATGTTTCTATGCTCATCATTCAACAATATAGGCTTCACTAGTGAAATAATTCTTTCCAGTGCATCACAATGTGGCGGTAGAAATTTACAAACAATTCTCGTTTCTAAAATTTGTTGTTCTTCCCAGATTGCAGCTTGTTTTTGTCTTATTTCGGTGAATTGATTAAAGATATCATTTGTTGCATATTTCATTCTTATCGATTCATAGAGTTTACTTTCTTCGATGTCATTTTTGAATTTGTTTAGTTGGTTTTGATTTCTTTTCGATAAGTATTTGCGTTCTGAATCAACGAATTCTTTTAGACAACAATCAATTCGTTGAAATGATACTGGTGTAATTGGACAGAATGCTGATTGTGTATTTAATTCTACCTTGCATTGTCCTATGTGTCGATTGATGTGTTCAACATAATTAATGAGATATTGTTGGCACAAAATGAAGTCAGTTGTTTTTGCCATTCGTTTGAGTTGTTCCTAATGCCAAAGTAAGTGAACTAGAAATTATTTTATCCAAGATGGATAACTTACAGGCCATTGATGCTGTTCCCATCCAATATTTAAATATGATGTCCATAACTGTAGATCGAGTTCAAAATAATAGATGTGATCCAACAAATTCAATCTTTTGTAAATGAACATCTGCAGATCCTCCCGTTGGATAGGATAGTTTAACTTGTTGCTCAAAGTTTGAAATAATATTCTTGGTGAGCGTTTTAGATACATTGGTCGTTTATAATTCAATTGTGTGTGTATATCTNGATGCTGTTCCCATCCAATATTTAAATATGATGTCCATAACTGTAGATCGAGTTCAAAATAATAGATGTGATCCAACAAATTCAATCTTTTGTAAATGAACATCTGCAGATCCTCCCGTTGGATAGGATAGTTTAACTTGTTGCTCAAAGTTTGAAATAATATTCTTGGTGAGCGTTTTAGATACATTGGTCGTTTATAATTCAATTGTGTGTGTATATCTATTGTTGATTTCTCGCAGTTCATTTTCTTCTTCAATGGCTGTCGAATTGATATGGAACTGATTGATTTCGGTATGACGGAAGATGAAGTCAGTTCTTGAGATGGTACTTCTCGTTTACGCTTATTGATATTCTGTTCTGTAGTTGTCGGTACATTGACATAGATATCATCCATGAAATCTTTGAAATATTCATCCCTACGACTAAGTCTTTGATTTTGATCCGTTCGATTCCGTTCATTCAGTAATCGTTCAATTTGAGCTGGTTTCATTCCACGTTGACGCCGTTTTCGTCGAAAACGTCGATTTCGTCGATTACCATGACATTTCTTTTTCGATTGAGTTTGAATAATTAATGGTGGGTTGTGAATGTCCATTTGTGCTGTTTATCTCTATCTGAAATAACCTAAATAATCAGATTCATGACTAAAAGCAGATTAGAATAACAAAAGAAAAAAGATTATAGTGATTTAAATTGTTTTTTGAAATTATAAATGCATTGTAGACGCTGTTGTATGATATGACAACGTTGACCGATTAACTCGATCATGTTTGCAGACATCTGATAATTAACATCATCCGAATGATAATTCCACCACATTTCTTTCATCAGATCGTCATGTTTGTTTGTATATTCAATTTTTTCTTCCTGAATGGATCTCCGATAAAGCTCAAATAGTTCTGCTCTTGCTTCTAGAGCAATGTGTTTGTACTTATACAATACTTGTTCATGAATACCAGTTTGGGGAATAAAATCAAACAATTTTGATTGATCTAATGAATTATAATATGCCACCTGTTCTGTCAATAGTTGAGATTCTTGTTCTAGTAGTGCTAAAGCATATTTCACTTCGCATATATCTTTCAACATTTGAATCTAAAGGCAGTTTTAAAAAAAAACATGAAGAACTTCATTGATGAAAAACAAACTCACTTGATAGTTACTTGGATTAATCTGCATATACTTGATTTTTAATGCTCGTATGTAATAATCATAGTGAACAAGTTCAATTTGATGCTGTATGTATGCACGAAAAGATTTCATATGTTCTTCAATGTAATCCATAATGATATGTTGAATTGTGAACGAATAATTGGGATAATTATTGGATGTTACAAGTAACTTATGTTGACATTCTTTTAGTTGACTATCCAGTTTAGACAAATGTCTAGTTACAAAATTGTGATAAAGTCGATTCTCTTCAGCTCTGTCATCACTCTTCAATTTCAACATTGTTTTCAATTCTTTCGGCCATATACAACAGCTAAAGGCTGGCAACGATATTATTGCTATTTGACTAGACAGTTCTCCTCTACCAGATTGCAGATAAGCTGTCCAGAGTGACTGATCAGCTTGAAGCATCATTATCTTTTGAAGTAAAATTGCTATTTCATGTAAACTATCAAGATCATTGCTTGGAATCATCTGCGTTCTGAATGCTTTCAAGATATGCTTGACTAGTTGTTCAAAAGCTGGATGTTGTTTGAATAAGAATTGTGGAATCTGATCTATTTGAATCCTGATCTCTGATTCCTTCTGATGAGTGCATGTTTCTTCTTCGGTAGGTTTGATATTCCATGATAGATCAACTGTAGTTTTCGGGAATTCCATAACATGATCGATACCGAAATGTGAAAGAGTAGGCGATGCTGTTTCTCGTTGATAACCTTTCTCTTTGACATCATTGTTGCCATCTGCCATATTCC